CATACATGAAGTGTTTTTGGGAAAAGGAAGCCCGCTCTGGCTCCTAATCGTCGCTCAAGACTACGATTACATTCAAAGCGAATTTTACATGAAAATCATGGTCGACCCCATTCCGGGCACCGAGAACGTAGACGACAAATTGAAGATATTAAAACGAATCGTATTAAGCGAAGACAAAGACTGTTTGAAATATCTATCGGAAACCAACCAAACTAATTTCGTAATACAAAAATCAAACATTGTTTTAGATGAATTACGCACTATTCCAAACGTTGACCCCGATTTAAAAAAATATTTATTCAAACACATAGTTTTAGCATTGAAACAAGTTCCGCCCTTTACTTTTGATCACGCTCTTCAAACCATGTCGATACTAACTAAGATAAACGAATTTAAAACCACATCGGATAGTTTTTTAATGAAAATTTTGAGCGAAATGGTGCTACAATGTTCCGTCGCCGTACACAACTCTGTCGGACATCTAACTAGGAATATACCATTTTTATACATGAGAAATTTTTTTGGAAACATTCTTAAATTATTGGACAGTATAATTGAAGTAAAACCTCAAATGTTAGCCATATTGAATGAGCACGTTCCGAAACACGATTACGATTCGTATGACGATGTGGTGAGCGAAAAAGTTAAAATACGCTACGATTTCTCGGAAATAATTAAAAACGTTCTTATAAGTATGAAAATAATGGGGCCGTGCGTAATATATTTACACTTACCCGGACAAACTTCACTCATTTACGAACTCGATTTGCTAACCTACATTACGAAAAGGATAACACCTTTTCAATTATACACTCACATAATCGGTTTTACCCATAAATTGCAAAACTATGTGAGATTTTCGAGATATTTTGCCGAATCGTTGACTTTAAAATACGATTTTATCGATTATCAATTCGCAGCGTTTCAGAACAACGTACTCTGGTGGCACCTAGGGAGTGCGGATATACATACAGATTTACTAATGTTCGATTTGGTACGACTGTTCGAAGACGTCAGCACGGTCGAAAACACATATCAAATAAATTTAGTAATGAGGAATGTTCCCGTGGGCTCTCTGGAGGGGACCGTAGAGATTGGCGAATATTCACACGTGTATAGATTGCACACGTCAGAGGCTGGTTCATTGCTTTTCTCATTTCAAAACGTTGTCACGCCGTATTACGTAGCTTATTCAAGTTGTTATTGTTCCGAAAATGATTTTTTAAATGGGGTAGAAGCCACACCGAACGTGTCCGATGAAGAAAATATGATACAATTATCCCCTCCAAAAGGAAGTAATAGCCTTTACGTTTGCATAAAAAAAAAAGATCCGGGGACGAGTATAAATTACATAATATTGTATTCGTCGTTTACGTGCGTTCATTGGGATCTGGAAAGAGGACAGTGGGACCACGATAAGTGCAAGGTTCAAATGGCATTTTTACAAGCTGAGAGACATTTGAGATGTTTGTGCAATCACGCGAGTTTATTCGGTGGAAAAATATTCGTCGTCCCGAACAGTTTGACGGTGACTTACGATATTAACATAAACGTTTTACTATTAAAAAATTGGGTCATGGTATTGATTATATCGACAATGCTCGCCCTGTGGGTTTTATTATCATTTTTCGGTTACAAAGAAGATAAAAAATTTAAAAAAAAAAATTTCATATGCGTTTTAGATGATAATTATCCGGGAGATGGACACGTTTACATAATGGTCATATTCACGGGTGCGTTTATTGATGCCGGTACGAGTGCGGACGTTGCATTTCAAGTATTCGGCTCGTTATCCAACAGTCGAGTTCACTTGTTAAAATGTGCCAACGTTAAATTATTGAGAAGAATTCACAGGATTGGGTGATATTTTACACTCCCGAACTATTAGGGGATATATATAAAATGAGAATATGGCACAATTGCAAAGGCATCAATCCCCATTGGTACTGTTCGAGAATAATAATACAACATTTGAAAAGCGGTACGCAATATACTTTCGAAATACAAAAATGGTTTTCACTCATATGGGACGGCGGTCAAATATACCGTAAAGTTTTCCCGGAAAAAGAAGAAGACTATAAATCCGCTAAATTTTTAATGATGGTTAAATTGAGGACGCAAATAAAGGAAAAACATTTGTGGGTTAGCATACTCGCGAGGGATCCGCAAAGTAATTTTAAAAGCGTCGAAAGAGTTGCGTGCGCGTTTGCATTTTTATTCCTTTCGATGTTGGTGAGCGCCATGTTTTACGGTTTGCCAAAAGGAAAACCTTCGGATTTCATAGAAGAAAAAGAAGCGTTGAAACATTTCAGATTTCAATTAATGATAATAATTGAATCATTTTTAATTAGTTTTCCGATAAGTTTTATTATATTGAAAATATTTCAACATTCGAGTCCTCCGGATATAATTGACGAAGACGAAGAAGACGAAGACGAACTCGTGGCATACCAATCGAAATCTCAAGATGAACGCGAAGAAGAAAAACACAAGTGAAAACCCGTGACCACGCCCCCGAACCGGAAGTTATTTCAAAGTCGGATTCAAGTCCGGATTTTTTCCCACGATCTTCCCATATTTTAAAATTTATATCAAAACTAAAAAAAAAAAAAAAAAAACCGCTTCTCTCGGCTCCTCCTTCATTTCAAATCAAATTGAATTGTCGCGATTTATTTAATGAGGAAAATTATTATTATTATTAATAATTTCCATATTTTATATTCTATTATTTTCGTTTTGATTTTAAAACGTCATTTTGTATATTTTATATCATTTATTATATTATGTTGTCGTGATGTGCGGGAAACACTCGAATAATTATATACAAATAATTAAAAACCGGAAGTGATTGTTTTTACCAAATGAATTTATATCATTCCCGTGGAAATCTCTAATAATAATAATAATAATAATAATAGTGATAAAAACTTTGAAATCTTATTTACATCATTCGTTTTGTATTTAATTTATTTATTTTTTTTTAAATTTTAAAGAGAAACAAACACGTCGTAAAATTTAGTTTTTCTTTGAAATTATTAAAGCGATTAAAAATTCTTTTTTTTTTTTAAACGTGGCAGAAGAAAATAAAAAAAAATTTTTTGCAAAGTCGAATATAAGAAAGAAAAAAAAAAAAAAACTATTTTAATACTCGAGTTCGAAACGTAATCGATTTAAAAAAAAAAAAAAAAAAAAAAAAAAAGAAAGAAAGAAAAATTTAATTAATTAATAAATAAAAACCTCAGAGTCGGGGAATTAGTCGCGCGTATCGTCGTGGCATTTAAAAAAAAAAAAAGAAAAAAAAAAAAGAAAAGTCGTCTTTTATTTTAATAATTTTTTATTTTTCTTTTCATTTTAATTAACGACGGGAAAAAATTAATTTAAAAAAAAATTTTTTTTTTTTTTTTTCGTCAATAATAATAATAATAATAATAATAATAATAATAATCCATTTTTAATTTTTAACGAAGTGTTTAATGAATTTTCTTCCGCGTTAATAATAATAATAATAATAATGATAATTATAATTATTCGATACGTTTAAACGTGATAAAAATAATTTTAAATAACATCACACACGTGTTCGGGTTTGGGGAAAAATCTCCCGGAGGGTATTTTTATTTTTTTTCTCCGTAGAATTTTCTAGAATTTTTTAGAACACCACGTGTTTCGAACCCTTATAGAAATATATAAGAAAAAAAATTTCCTCCCCCCCTTTCATCCACTTTTTTTTTTTTTATTGCCCCAAAGGATACTTGCTTTGAAAAAGAAAAAAAAAAAAAATATGACAAAATAAACATAAAAAAAGAAAATTTTTTTTTTTCAATTTATTTTTATGTAAACATTTTCCAATGGAAAAAAAAAGAAAAAAGCTTTAAGATATGTTTGTAAAATCTCTCTTTATCATAAATAAATTCCAAAAAAAATTTTTTTTTTAGTATTATTTTAGTGTCGTCTGCTTTTTACAAAACTAGGAAAACGTTAAGCAAAAATTATTAATAAAAAAAAATAAAATATTATTTATTTTTATTTCCCCCCCCCCCCATTTTTAATTTGCCGTGAAATTTGACGTCACAAATTTTCTTTCTTTTTTTTTTTTATTAAATGTAATTAACTTTTGAGTTAAACGTTACGCGTGCGAGGAAAAAAAAAAAGGAAAAAATGAGGAAAATTTTGCATGAAAAACACTTGCAAATAATTTTTTTTTTTTTTTTTTTTGATAACAATATTAAATGCGAGATTTTCTATTGACACGTTTTTTTAATCGATTAAAAACGGAATGAAATGGAAATAAAATAAATAAATTTAAAAAAAAAAAAAAAAAGGAAAATTTTTTTTTTTTACGTAAATAAATAATGAGTTTTCACGAGATTGTAAGATCCGTGGGGTGATTCGTGGGGAGACTCAATGCGAGGAAAATCAAAGTGGAAAAAATTTTTTCCTTCCCCCCTCCCCACCACCGCATGATAATTTATTTATTCTCACGTGTACGTTTATTTATACATAAATATATTAGTTTACGAAAACCGTCCTCAGATTTTTTTTATTTGATAAAATAAAAATTTTCCTTTAATTATTTTATTTTTCCATTTTATTCCATGGCAACGACATAAATAAAATTTGAATTTTTCTTCTTTTTTTTTTCCGTTATTAAATGTTACGTTTAAAATCTAACACGAAAAAGGTTTTACAATAACAAATTTTCCCTCTTTTTTTTTTTTCTATTGTTTTCATTTTTGATATTTCCCTTAATAATAATAATAAAACTCATCCATGAGATATAAAATCATAATTGTATTATTATTATTATATTAGTTTAGTAACAAAGTGAAAATTGATTAAGGTCACCTTGTAAATGTTTTGATTTTAAACGTGTTGTATTTAAAAAAAAAAAAAAAACAATTGTTATCGTGGAAAAAAATTTTACATTTTCCAGGAAAAGTAGGTAGGATCAAAGGTCACTCTATTTTTTTTTTAATATTATAATAAAATGAAAAACTCACCCAATGTTAATAATGTTAAATCCGATACGGCCAAACTAAATAAATAATAATTAGTTGCCGTGTGTAATGATGGATTTTTTATTATGACGACACAAACGGATATGTTACCGAAAATCCCCGTAACGAAAATAAATATGTATATCACAGTTAATGGTATCACAGTTGTTAGGGCCAAATGTTTGGGGCCCAACGTTCGTAATAAATATTGTTCCAAACTAATGTTGAAATTAACGGAATCCTCATCATCTCTTGTTGTTGTTATTTCCGATGAATTTGACGTCACGTCGAAATTATTATTATTATTCGTCATTTTATATTATTTTTTTCACCTGTAATCAAAAATAATTTTCTTTTTTTTTTAATTCTTTCATGATAGATTGGAGAAGGGGGAGAGAGAGGTGAGGGGAAGGTACTTTTTTTTTTTTAAAAAGATCCCAATTGAAATTATTTATAGAAAAAAAAAAAAATTTTCCTGCCAATTTTTGGGATAAAGGCTAACTAATAATAAAATGCATGCCAAAAAATATTTTTATACAATTTTTGAAAAAATTATTATTATTATTATTATTATTAAATAAAATAAAGCAGAAGACGTTGCGATAATAATAATAATAATAAAATTTAATAAAAGGTTATTTAAGAATTTTTTTTTTTTAATAAAATAATTATGTCCCGTTTTTACGACGGGGGGCAAGAAAAAAGATTTTTTTTTTTTTTCAGGAAAAACTAATTGCTCGTTTATAATTAAATCTAGGTTTTTAATGGGGGGAGAGGGAAAGGAATTTTCTCGAAAAAAAAAAACAAACGAACGAACGAACGGCGATGAAAATAACAAAAAAAAAAAACAATTTTTTTTTTTTATGTTCGCGTGCAAGTTTTTTTTATCCATCGAAATTGTTTCTGTTGTTTAAAAAAAAAACTGTTCGTTTGTTTCTTTGTTCGTTTGTTTTTTTTTTCGATAAATGACGTAATTTTAATTAATAATTAAAAAATTTTTTATTAATTTCAACGTAAAAAAAAAAGTCAAAAAAAGTTTTGTTTTTGTAACCCCCCCTTTTCCCGTTTTTTTTTTATCATTAAAAATTTCATAATATTTTTTAAAAAATTTTCCAATCCAAATTCTTTCCAATTATTATTATTATTATTATTATTATTATTATTATTATTATTATTATTATTATTATTATTATTATTATTATTATTATTATTATTATTATTATTATTATTATTATTATTATTATTATTATTATTATTATTATTATTATTTGAAAACTTTTAAACGTCATCAAAAGTTTTTGAAAATAAATTTTTTTTTTTTTTTTACAATAGCATCAAAAAATTTACATTTTTGATTTCTGTGGGAAAAATTTTGTTTTTTTTTTCTTCTTTTTTTTTGTAACGAGGAAAATAAAAAAAAAAAAATTTTTCACATTCGTTTTCACGCCTTAAGCACATAAACCGGAAATCAAAACGATTATTTGTGTCTTCTGCTCTGCCGTCGAATAAAAATTGTAAAAATTATTTTTTTCTTCCTTGATAATCTTTTCGCATTATTTTTCTAAGAATTTTTTCTTATGGTTGTTAACCTTTATCATTGATTTCGATTATTAATTTTTAATTTTCTTCAACCGGAAATAAATATAAAAACCGGAAACTCGTATTTACGAGTAACGTTCGATTCCGAATAACGTTTTTATTTTAGTTTTTCCCGGGTTGATTTTTGCGACATTTTTACGGATTTGAAATTAAATTTCCGGAAGTAAACGGAAACGGATATCATTTTTTTTTCTTTATTATTTTCAATACGTCAACGACATATTATATTCACTATAAAAATGAAATTTCCGGTTGTACTATTTATGATTCGGATATTTTTATGTAATATTAAACTATTCCCATATAAATTTATTTTCTCAGTAATAAAAAAAAAACTTTTTTTTTTTTTTTTTACTCGGAAATCATTTAATATTTTTTATCGGTGATAAAATATCGATTAAATAAATAAATCCTTCTCTTAATAAAAAATTAAAAAAGTTTTTTTTTTTCGGGGGGGGGGCGGGCGGGAAAGGGAGGCATTAATAAATAATAAGAATTTTTATTTTTTTGCTAAAATTTTCACCGAGTTTTTAACGGAAATAAAAAAGAAAATAATCGTGACATCGTTAGACAGGTGCGTAATTTATAAAGACGTACGATAAAAATACATTCCGAATGAATAATTACGTCAACTTATGTTGAATCCCGTCCAACCAATCAGAAACGACTTAAACTCCATCATTCTACTTGCGCCGCCATATTTGGTATTATTACGTCATTTTTGTTTTTGTTTGAATTGAAAATGTTACCGTTAACATATACTTGTTGTAAAAATAATAATAAGTTTTGTTTTCTCATTCGATAAATATCTCGAATCGAATCGATTTGAAAATTTTTTTTTTAATAATAAATTTATGTAAGTAGATTAATAATAATAATAACTTTTCGCAATTAATAAATGAAAATTCCTAACGATACGTTCACCCGTGATTTTTTTTTATCTTTTCCACCCCCGTTAAATTTTATTATTATTAAAAATAAAACTATTATTATTATTATTATTATTAACTTTTTAATTAAAAAAAAAAAAGGAAATTCTTTTTTTCTGTTTTAATTAAAATTAAATAAATTATTTCTGACATTTTTCTTAATTAAAATAATAAGAAAAAAATTTTTTTTTAACAAACCAATAGAAAAAAATAATAATCTTATGTTAATAATAATAATAATAATATTTGATTTAATTATAATTTTTTCGTCAAACGTGAATAATAATTAATTAATTAATTATAATTTTTTTTCTTTACGCGAGATTAATAATAATAATAATAACCGCGAAAATTATCTTTACGAAAAAATTATTAAAAAAAAGTTCAATAAGAACCGAGAATAAAATAAATAAATTTAAAAAATTTTAAATAAATTATTGATAAGGAAATATTTAAAAAGAAATCGATGGAAAAATTTAAGGTGATAATGAAATTTTCAAAAAAAAAATTACGTAATTATTACCCAAGGTAATTTTTTTTATTTGACACTTATTAATAGTTTAAAAATTTTAAAGTTTTTTTTTTTTATTAAATTAAATGATAAAAACGATCCAATATGGAGGATGCGATGATAATAATGATAATGGTAAATACACGAACAGGTAAATATGGTGATCACGTGTAAAACGTTTTCATTTAAACCCTCAAAAAATTTAAAAGTCAAAAATGAATAAAACAAAAAAAATTTTTTTTATTTTTCCTCAACGTATTCGCGCATTCGTTTGTTTGTTTGTTTGTTTTTACGCAATAATTAATTACCATCGCCGAAAATACCTATATTCCCACACGTTATGTAAACAATAATAATAATGATAATAATAAGGGTTAATAATTAATTTTTTGAGTTTTTTTTTTTTTTTTTTTATAGAATTGAATCAAATTATTAAACGTCCAAACGTAATTTTTTTTTTTTTCAAACTATGAGGAAAATAAATCAAAATATTTAATAATGAATTAATTAATATTAATAATAATAATGATATTAAATGAGTTGTAAAGTAAAAATTATTTCGAATGAATTTAAGAATGAGGAAAATAAAAAGAAAAATGAAAGCGAAAGCAAAAACAAATAAATAAATAAATAAATAAAAACTTGATTTTTACATTATTATTATTTAGTATAGTTTAAATAAAAAGTGAAACAAAGTGAAAATTACGACAAACGAAATAAAATAAAAATTAAATTAAAACATGAGAGTTATTTGTAAACAAACAAAA